TTGGTTATAAAAAGTAAGATGATGATAAAATAAGCAGCTTTTGTGTTTCTTTTTTTGTCCTTCAATTGATTTATATGTCTTCTTTTTATCTTTTCGACACCGCGAGTACTTTTGTCTCTAAGAAGACGCTCCTAGGAGTTAGGGGGATTTCGATTTTGTTATGATCAGACTTCAACTAACATTTGTATCTCACATCCCCACTTTTTGTTCCAACATATTTTTCCCTAAAGTCCAAAATGACATTTACTACAAATATTGCAACAATATTTATGTATGTAATCCCAACAATTAGTTTATAAACTTTGGCGATTGATATAAGCCAAACAATGTTGAAGGGAGGCTTTCGTACGAGTATAAAACAAAGACGTGAAAACGTTAGAGCATTGGTTTGGTGTTTTTCTATGATTTTTGGCGCTCAAATTAGTAATTTTGTACAAATTTGTTCATCTTGCTTCTATACTCTTCGATTTTATTTTATTTGTATGTTTTATCTCTTGTAATGTTGTTGCTGTGTGTAGTATAGCTCTTTTTGGGTTCTTTTGGATCCACATTTATAAATGCGTAACGAATAGATTAGTTTGTATTTCATTAAAAAAAAAACAAAAAGAAATAGTATAGAATCTTATCATTCATACAAAAAAGGTTGTATTGAACATATCATAGTAGTTGTTATACAATAAGGTAGGAGAGCGAGGATCGCTGGAATTGATGGGTGTGTTTTTGTGTGCATAACAAAAGTTAATAAGTAAGTATATAATTTTAATGCAAAATTCTTTTCTTACTTGTGTTTAATTATTTTGAATAATTTAATTTAACGAGACAAGCTTTTGGTGCAATTTTGCACTCTCTTTCAATCTCTATCTCACCTTTTGTAGATGCCAAGCTTGCCCACCATATCTTCTCCTCAACCCCTCACTTTACAAGTAATTTATCTATCTTTTAGTCAGTTTGCTTATTGCAATAAACAAAACTCAAATTTGAGATTCAACGTAATAATAGTCATAATGAATTCACTTATTAATTTGAGATCATATATATACAGAGAAGATACATGTCTATCTGCATCTCTATGTTACCTTTTCATTTTTTTTGCTAAAAATCTCTATGTTCCTTTAGTTGATCTAATTCCATATATACCAAGCTATTAATGAAACATATATACACCAAAACCAAACCCATCACCTCCCTGAAAATCAGTTAC